TCATAACACGGAAGGAAGCCTGATAACATAGTGCACTTGTGGCAACCCTTCACCACCCTGAATTACGATCACGAGCTGCAGTTTTCTGACCTGAACAATGCCAGTTACTTCCAAACACTAGTAAGAAATTTGAGTCAGTTTTTTCACTGCCAGCTCAATCCGCTACAGTATATTTCTTTTGATATTGCCTGTAAACTGGCGATAAGCATAAGTAAATAATGACCCTGCCAGCACATGGCCCCGGATTTGGCGAGGCTGTGGACGGGGCAATCCGGGGCCAAGGGCCTTTATGGACGAACTAAATTTCCTTTACAAATTTTTCGAAATCTATTTTTCTGTCAAAAATATCAATGACCATTATGTTGGGTCTTCTTCTTTGATAAAAGAATCAAATCGGATGTCAAAATGAGAAAACAGGGGTGCACGCTGCGAAAATATTTTTCGGAGGCGGGGCTGTCCGGGTTGAAACCCCCGTCACCCTAGCTCCGTCCTATTCAGTGGCACCTGGACTGGCTCAATCCTCTACAGTATATTTCTTTTGACATTGTCTATAAACTGGCAATAGGCATAAGTAAATAATGCCTCCGAATAAATATTGCCAAGTCATCTGGTCCCAATATAATCTAATGACTTGCACTTCGCAAATTGGCAAACTTCCCATACAAGTTGATGTGCATGACATTCTAAAGCTTTATGGAAGAAATCTAACTGCCGGGGGTAGAGAAAATTGCCTTTATCTCCCCAATCTACGAAGAACGTTTAAGGCTGCAGTCGAAAAGGACCGTTTGAATACTTTAACTTGCATTTTCCGATAAGTCATTGAACCACTTTTTAAGAAGCAGTTAATGACATATGTGGAACAATGAAACCTATTGTGGGCTCCCCAGTATGGCTTTTGGCGGACTTACTCATGGTAGGCATTCTTTATCACATAATTCAGTCCGAATAATTAAATTTTCAACAAACGAAGTTGGTGTGGAGTAAACACAAAGTGACAATTTCTCCCATAC